GTTGCTCTAACTCTATATAATTGTGCCCTGGTCTTCCATCGACACCAGGTTCTGTTTGGAGACCCGATGAAGATGGAACTGATGTTGCTGGGCCTAAGGGTTCCTCCTCCGTTACACCAATAGCCGCGCCCAACCAACCATGAGGCCGGTTCTGGTTGAAAGACAGAACCAGTCCACCAGCAGCAGGGGTCCCTGATAGGATGTTATTCCTCCAGACTCTGTGGTCCGGATGGGTTTGGATTGTTCTCCGTGTTACATGTTAACCTTACAGCCTAAAACTCAGAGTAAACTGTTCTATTATAGCTAATCAGTGAGAAGGGCTCAGAAATCTCTTCAGTCTATAACTCGCTAAAATGTGCGTTTATTTATGAAGCTAATGGCTGGTCACGCTTCACCCCAAGCAGCCGAAGTTCACTGAGACTGCTAAGAAACATCCAGAGGATGTTCACCATGAAGGATGTTCACCATGAAGGATGTTCATGGCAGAAGCTTGGTTTGGTGTAGAAGGCTTCCAGCCGTACATGTTTGAGCCGTTGCCTGGTAACGCTGCCAGTTCTGTTAGCTCTACGCCTGCTGAAGACACAGACGTCCATCCCCGTGAACACTGGGACGGAACTCAATGGGAGAAGAAATTATTCTTATTTCAACTGTTGCGTATATTAGCTGCGACATATGAATCGAGATGCTATGACCGAAAAAATTTGATTGACAGATGACCATTGATATATGATTGGCCGGATTAAGGTGTTCAAGCTGACATAGAACTAACTGAGATAACAAAACAAAAAAACAGATATTAAGATATATTTTTTTTTAAATAGAAACAATCTAAATTTTGGGAGAATATGGTCTGATAAAGAGTACATTTATATACATGTTTAAGCCAGAATGATTTGACATTTAAATATGATTTCCCTACAACTTTAAGATCAGAGCCATATTCAGCTGTTGTTACCAAACGAGGAACAGTCGGTTCTTCCAACAGAACCAGGATAATTTTCTAGCCTCATTAAACGACTTTATTCTCCCTCAGGTCCACATTAACATCTGTTATATGATTCCAGACAACTGGACCCCGCATGCAGCAGAGAAGACTGGACCGGACCACCAATCTCTGCACCTCAGCTCCTTCCTGTCAGACCTGCTGTGATCATGTATGGCGGCACAGCGACTGGGAGTCTGTGGAATGAGGTCATCATCAAGTCAGTATGTTGTTTTCCTGATCTTCAGTCTAACCTGATCAGGACCAACAACAGCTGAAGGTCAACTTGCAGAACAAGTGGGTGCCTTGGTTCAAAGAGGCTCCTTAGTCCAGACCTGTGCTGTCGTACTGTAGCAGCATAACCCTAATCCTTTAAACAAAGGCATCTGAATGTGTAGATGGAAGGCAATGAACAGGAATGAATGTAAGATTTGTGTCTGTTTCTTTTTGTCAACTTGCATACATGTGACATTAGATGCTTCATCTGTAACAGAAGTTTGGAAGTTATAAATTCAAGTTACAAGTTTGGAAAAATAAAAAGAACAAATCCCCAATGTTCAAGTATGAATCGAGAACAGCTGACAAAGCTTTTACTCTCCCTATGGGTTGGTGGCAGAGTCTTCCACTTCCACCGTCTTCACTTAAAGTTGTATAAATAAGTGATTTACTTTTAAATTTGTAATTATACATTTTTGATTAGTACATGTAAGTTTGTCATTTTTATTTCTAAATTCCTAACTTTTTGAATTTGTGATTCCTTAATAGAAATATGTAATCTGTATTCATAAATGTGTGATTCATGTTAGTGCATTTTTCATTGTACTGGTTAATTTGTGACTCGTACTCATATTTTGGTAAAGTTGTAACTTTGCAACTGTTATTCTTAACTTCCAAACTTATATTTTCAGAAATGAATTATCTGATGGCAAATATAAAAGTTGACAAAAACAAATACAAATCTTATTTTTATTCATGTTTTCAGACGCCTACATGTAGGTGTTTTTTGACAGCGATCTTACCTCCTAGATTTTAGTCACAATAAATATTCAGGAGAATAAAGGAAGAATTTAAACAATTTATAAACCCATAATCCTCTAATCTAGATCACTGTGAGAAGCAGCATGTCAGTGAGGTGCTTCTGAAAAGCAGAGCTGTGACAGGGAGAGATTCTGATTGCTATATTTCTATGAATGCTGATCGGACCTGGAGCACCTTCCCAGTGGCTTCCACAGAGGACGGCCGCTATGAAGCATTAAAAAATATTTCAGTATGTGTCGGCATTGATAGTGTGGCTGACTGCAGAGGGTCTGTCTGCGTCCACAGTTCAACTTCCTAATCTCTACCTGAGGCTTACAGTTTAGGACATCCTCAAGTCTCAGGAGAAAAGCTGTCAGGTTTCAAATTCAAGCAATAAATGCATCTTGACTGAGAAAAATGACTTTTTATCAATCAGCATCCTGACAAACAGCAGAATTCAAGTTTCTAAAAACACCTGATTAGTTTATTTTTAAGACCTGGGAAATTTTTCTCTGAGACCTAGGATGTCCTAAAGGGGACACCGTACTGAGGAAAGTTATGGCTAGAAGTCTCAACAATATTCTGGAGAAAAGGGCGACTGATTTTATCAGATTGGTTGATTAATATTTGCCACCAAGTAGCATTAAACCCCTAAAGCTGCTGGGCAGTGAAGCCCCCTCTGAATAAACAGCTCAGTAACATCAGCTCCCAGGTGTAGCTGCCACCAACAGAAGATTACAGAACATGCACCGACAAATACTGAATGAGAACCCAAATATTCTTCATTTTTACAGTCATATTTAAAAGCACAACGTATCTAACAGTAAATATTCTTTAGCGTGTGCGTGGAGAACCAGGAGGGACATCAGAGCTGGTCTCCAAGGTGGATGACCATCAGGAGGTCTTTATCTGCCTTCTTTTAACAGACCTCCCCAGGATGTGCAGTCAGGTACCAGGTCCACTGCTGCCTGGGTGGGTAGAGGGTGGGGGTGTGCGCTGTCAGCTCCGTCTGCTGCTTTAGCCTCTCCATCCTCCCCCGAGGATCTGCAGCGTGGCTCTGCCCGGTTCTCTGCCGTCTGGGCCACACACCAGCAGGCCTTCCTTAGTTCTCAGCAGCTCCTATAGATGGGATGAGGTGGAGAAGCAGAGCTTCAGGGTGTACGGGTTGGATCCATCTGCAAATGGAACAGACATAGGCGCTGAATGGAGACAATAAAGCTGGGAAAACAATGTGCAATTTTTTCAATCGTTCCACGCAGCTACAGCTCACACTGTACGACATAAGCCGCAGTTTAAAAGGTCACAGCTCACGATGTTTGTTCTCACACTGTGTGACCCGATGCTCTGATGCGATCTACCTGCGATGGAGCTACTCGGACCCATTTATCCGGAAGCCAAACCAGTAGAACAGGAATTTAAAGCTCACTATAGTGAAACGCGCTGCCTTGACAATTTGTACAATTTTGTGCTGAAAGCCCTAAAAAGGCAACAACGTATTTGGACAAAGACATGGCTGATCAAACGTAGCTACTATGGTCTGTCAATTTTACAGAAAGAACTCCATTTCATTCACACCCCCGCCACGCTTTTGTGTTTTCATCTGAGAGGAGGAAGGAGAATCCTTGTCTGCTCCTGCGCATGGAGCGATTTGCTCACGGCCACCTTACGACGGCCTACTGAATTTCAAACATGTTTAAATTTTCTCCCGCTCTTATGATTCCTGATCGGGAGGTGGTCGTGAGAGGCTGATCGTCCCTCGTTACCCTCTGTATACTACATGACACACCACGACTACACTTTCATCAGACTGAAAGTCTCGCATAACTGGAAGGGCAAAAAATATGCCTTCCTGGTGCTTCCATCAGGTCAGAGGTGAAGCTAACCTGTGGATACAGAGGTTAGGGAAATCAAATGTTCCTCCGCTGCTCTTCTATCAGAGCTAGGGGGACCTTTTGGAGTCAAAGAAGGACTCAGAATTATTATTGGAAGGAGAGGCTTTCTACAAAGAGTCAGGGGAAAAATTCTGCGGCCGTCAGGGAGACCATGGCCATTTCTCAATCTGTGTACTTGTGCGTCCTCATGTACTCGTGAAACATCAGCTTCAGCCCTAGTACTGTTCCAATTCATAAGAACAGCAGACAGAAAATGGACAAAGTCCCCGGATGTTGTCCTCGCCCCTCCCTCCCATGCATCAGAGCAGACTTGAACGTTCATGAGACCAACAGCTGTCCCAGCATGCACTGGAGCAGCAGCAGCTTCCAGGTTAGCGCTCACAGAGCTCAGAGTATTAAGCTCAAAGTTCTCTTTTCTGTTGCCGTTGTTCAATAAAAGTACGTTTTAAGATAATCTGAGGCGAGAACATCATACTAAGCGTCACTATATGGCCCATTTACCGATTTAATGCGTAATTCAAAAAAACATTCCCGAAGTTGAGAGCACCATGGCAACCAGCGAACCTCCAAGGGTAACGGCAGCCAGGGCTAACGTCAACCCTACAGAAGCAGCCCTCTCTCTGCATAGCCATGTGTGAAGGACCACTGGCTCTGATGGTGATTTTTTTTGTTTTATTTGGCAAAATTTTCATTTGATTTGTGGTTATCTGACTGTTTCAACTATTATCCCCTTACTAAATAATAAAAAAAAATGATAATTTAATATCGTTATCTAGAGACTATTAATAACAAAAGGTGAAATGCAGCTCCATACTATCTTTGAATGTGGTGATGTCATCGGTATGCTTCTGTTCCAGTTGACCCAGATTTATTGTGCGTGCTCCTATTCTCCCTGAGTCCACACTTTTCTGTGTTCTTCTCAAGAACATACTTGGTGAGGACACAAGTCCGTATTTGCGTTCTTTGTTTCCAAGTTTGAAGACATTTCGCTTCCCATCCAGGAAGCTTTTTCAATTCAAAATGTCACAAATAGGGTTGAGTTCCAGGCTTCATAGAGTGGAACAAAAATATGCATGGTTTAGAAAACATGCCAATTGAACCAGAAGAACGGGTCCACCCTTTAGGAATGGGGGTTGTTTGGTCTCTTTGTTAGCCAAGCATTACTAAGGGATGGACCCGTTCTTCTGGTTTAATTTACTGAACTGGTGAAGATAACCTGAATTTGAAGAGCCGTTTCAGAAGTCCACCTGGGACGTGAGAGGGCAAGAATCCTGGTGAGTATGCAGATTACAGTTATAATTATTCAACTAAAAACATTCAATTGGTTTTACCTTCAATATTGAATGAGTTATTAATTAACTACAACTTCCAGTTCTAGTAATCATATCTTCCTAATATACTGGTAAACTATCACAACAGACAGTCGACTTTTAATGGAAGTTTTCAAAAAGGTCTAAGGGTCTTGAACTTGTTTTTATTCAGATTCAGACCAGTGGAAACCTTAATAAACTGAACTTCAACAGGCCCATGGTCTTCTTCCTGATGTCTCAGCTGATTTTCTCTGATGTCTCACTTTAGGTGTTACCTTAAGATTTTTTTAGTATCTGACAATTGGAGAAATGTCAGAACAGGCTTTATTTCCCCTTAGTGAGACCATTTTCAGTAGATAAAGTCTGGATTCATGCTTTCATTCAAACAAAGACATGCTAACGGTGGAAGACTTACTTGGTATCCTGATCTGGTAGTGATTGAGAACAGTTAGAGCCTCCACAGCCTCCGTCTTACTGTCAAACTCCAACAGCCCTGACATGGTCTTAGATGAGGCTGAGAAGACAGTAGAAACCATCACTTCACACTGAAATGTCCAACATTTCTCATGAAACTCAAGCTTAGAAAAGAGCTCAGTAACATGATGTACTTACGTTTGGCGTCAAACATCTTGAACTTGACGAAGCTGGGAACATCATGCTCCTTGCACAGCTGCCAAAACACACAGGGATTCTAATCAGTACCAACAGCATGACAGTTCCATCTGTTATCAGCTAACAGCTCCTGATCAGGGTCACACAGAGACTGACTTCAGTCATGCTGAAGTAGTCCTCATTTTTAGTATCAAAGAAAAACACTAAAGCAGTACCAAAGGAAGGAAGTTCTTGATGTGTGTTCAACTTATTCAGGAAGCTAGAACCAGAAAAGTGGAAACACTGCCTTTAGTTCAGAGAAACAGTGAAATCAAGTTCTAAATACTGTTAATGGTTCTCAAGACAGAGACTGGTTCTAAAGACTGTTGAGTGTTCTAAAGACTAGGGCTGGTTCTAAAGACTGTCACCAATTGTAAAGTATGTTAATGGTTCTTAAGACTGTGACTGGTTCCAAAAATGGTTAATGGTCCTAAAGACTAGAATTCCCTCTAAAGACGATTAATGGCTCTAAAGACTAGTTGTCAGGGTTCTGCGGGCTGCACCCGTTCAGGGTGCAACCCTTGTCTTCCATCTTGCTTCCAGCAAAGTCGCTGCCCCCCCATCGGGCGGGCTGAACGGCAAACGCTCAAAGACCACATTAACGAGTCGCTCGCCGTTCGGATCACCTGTCCATCATCCTCCCCTTTGGGGACTGGGTTCTTTTTCTTGGGGAAAAAGGACGGATCTCTCTGCCCCTGTATTGTCTACCGCATCTTAAACCAAATTACTGTTAAAAATAAAAATGCGTTCCCCCTCACCTCATCGGCCCTTGAGCTGGTCCAGGACGCCACAATGTTCACTAAATTAGACTTATGGAACGTGTATCACATTGTAAGAATTCACAAGGGGGATGAATGGAAAACTTGGAATATTTAACTATGCCTTTTGGCCTTTGTGATGCATCCTCAGTCTTCTAGGCCCTATTCATCAACGTCCTCCAGGACTTTCTCATTGTGGTCGACTTTGTGTAGCTGGACAATATCCTTAACTACTCTAAGACCCTGGCAGATAATCAGACACACATATGCTTCATTCCCCAACTGAGATATGCGAGTTCCACAGACCCTTTGTCACTTTCCTAGGTCTCATTCTTGAGGGTGGGATGGTCTGCTCAGATCCTGAGAAGATCAAGTCTTTCCTTAACTGGTATGTGCCTGACTGTTCACAGCTGTAACGGTTCCTTGGAT